TCTTGTCAGTAGCTAGTCAGGCTATACTGGGGGAGTCAGCAAAAAGTGACAAACATGAAGAGTGTAAGTCAGCTCCAACACTCATCAAGCTTACACTTCATTGATTAAAAAGTGTATTTATCAAAAGTATTTTGCAATAAAGAGGATCACTAGCTTAGTGCCAATCTCCTCCTATCAGAGAAATGGCATAAATACAGGAAAAGTTTTTAAAAAATCACAACATATTTTTTAAGTATAATTGAATACACTATAAGGATGCGTAAAACTGACGTAAAGTGCTTTGGGAAGAGGACTAACCAGAGAGTAAGAATGAGCTTTCATAGGCAAAATTATTTATAAAATTAAAAAATAAGTAATAGCTAACATAGGTAGCAGAATAGTAGATTGCAAAAATACAAACAAACCCAAAAACCTAGAAAAATCACCCCTAAGAATTCACTTACCTATTCAATAAATATTATTTTGTACCTCCTCTGTTCTCTTTTCTAGCTCACATTCAGGCAGGGGGGAAACAACTAAGAAACAAACCCATGCTCCCATGGACCTTACATTCTATTGAGAATTTCAATGGAATTTAGAGCAAAAAGATAATGAGATGATAAGAGTAATCATTAGTACCATCTATGACAGATGAAGGTGATTCAATACCTATATAATTAGATCTTTCCACAAGAAGACTAGAGAGTACATGAAAAAAATAATAGAAGAATATTTCCCTGAGTTGATAGAGATTTACATGAAAAACTTGAAGAGTCCTGAGGAGAAATGGTAAAGAAATACACAGTTATCTTAATATCAGATCTTACAACATTCAAGTTAAAAAGCATTATTAGAAATAGCAAGGACCACTTCAAACAGAATATTTCACTCACCAAAAGGTAATTTTGAACCTTAATACTCCTAACAAATAGCCTCATATTATAAAATAATAGAAATTTATAGTCCTGCCAAGGGAAAAAAAATGATAAATAAGGTAAACTGGGACAAAGGATAGATTTGGGCTTTTAGCAGGGAACCTAATGTAGTATACATATATGTTGATTCAATGATGAACACTGAAACTAGATAATGCTATAATACTATGCTACTTCAATCAACCCATAACATACAGTTAAAAAAATGACAAATTATATGTCTTTTTTAATTATTGATAGGAAAAGCAAAAAAAAGCAAATAACAAAGATTTTAAAATATAATCAATATGTTTAATCTAATGAAATTTTTAGAAGTTTGCATCCAACCATTAGAAACCATTAGTTTTTCTCAAACATACACGAGACATTTAGCAGAAAGATAAACTTAAGAGACTCCTAATTCCTTAATTCCAAAATAAAGATTAAATTCTATCTATGATTTTGTACCAGAAAGTCATCATTTATCACTCTTAAAACACTCAGTGCTGGAGACAATTGAGCAATGTTTGAAGATTTCTTAAGGAAAAGATTATTGCCAAGAACTGTAAACTTGGCCAAAAACATTCACATTAGAAGAAAAATGAAACAAGTTTTCACACTTATAATCACAGCGTATGCTTTTTGGAATAAAGAAATCATTCACAAAGTGGAAAAAAAAAAAAAGGTGATTCAGCATAAAGACATAAAGAAAGAGGAAGGGGTGGTATTTAAAAAGTCCTAATGAATTGTTAACTAGCAAATATTGTCATCTAAGGACACGTCGGCATGTGTTAACAAAGATCCTTCAAAGAGAAATTACACTAGAAAAAAGGATCTGAAAATAAATATGCAGACTTTTAAAATATATGAGGAATCTTGGAGAAAAGGGCAGAAAGGAAGTAAAACTGGTAAACCTTTAAACTTATACAAAGAAAACAAACACATTCTTGTTATTGACAGAGGTTAAAATGTTTTTTGAAAACATTTTTAAATGTATAATTTTAAAGAAACTAGAAAAACACAAAACCAAGTTTTATGCTGTTTATAAGCTATATACGCTACAAAATAAATAAAGTTGGAAATGAATAAAGGAGAATACTACAGTAGGCTTTGAAATACTAACCTTAGTTAAAGGCTGACTTCAAACAAGCAAAAAAAAATTAATTTTATCCAGTTAATAAAAAATGTTCAACAATGTCAATCTAAGTCATAAACATGTAATTTGGCCAAAATCACAATTATAATGGGAGATTATGTCAAAACTATCTTAATTTGATACCTTATGTAGGAGAAAAATTATGATCTATTAAACCAACTATACTAATCATTTTATGAGAAAGAAAATATAGATCTGTATCCAGAAAAAAGACTCATATACTTTTTCAAAATTATCAGGATAAAAGTTAAACACATACCAATTTTGCTAAAATTCAAAAGACTGCTTGGTATTAAGGCATGGGAAACTTGTCATTTAGAAATGCTTAATCTCCAAGCATTTGAAAATTTTCCAAACTCTTTTAAAGAAATTTCAAAGATTGATAGTACCCAAGTACAGATAAAAAGATGTTCTCCAACACTCTAAGACTATAAAATACATTATTTTTATAATGCATTTTGGTATTCTCAACTTCAGCTAAAAATTCTAACATACATTCCCTATAATCCAGAAAAGCAAAAATTTCAAAAGAACCCTAATATTTATCAAAACTAAATACTATTAGTCAATACAAGCTAAGTTATGTTGCAATAACAAATGATCAACAAATCTCACTATAAACACAGGAAATGTTTATTTCTTGGTCATATTATACAACCAGTGTAGAGGGACTTCACTCTCTTGCTGTCACATCTCTGTGCTCAGCTTTCAGGGAAAAAAGACCTAGGAAGCAGCACGGGGGCACTTGACTCCTTCAGCCTACAAACAACACTTTGATTCTTCCAGCCATAACTAGTCACTTGGACAAGCTTAACAGAACTGCAGTTTTCTAAGAGCCCAGGAGGGAAGAGAAAATGAGAAATTGATGGCCTCTAAAACTCTCTGCCTCAGCTACTCATTGAGATACACACATATTGACCTTGGATATATCTTGGTAATGTATTAAAGTGCTATATCTAGTTAACTTTGTTTTGTAAAACAGAGACATCTCTACATTCTAGATAACAATTTCAAATAGTAAGTTTTACTCTTTTATTTCTCCGTTTCCTCTCTTTTCTTTCTTTCTATTCAAACAGATCAGAGAGTCATGCTTCCTATTATGAGGACAGTGGCAGGATGACAGAAGAAGAAATTGAACTCCAAAATCTAGAACTTCAGTATAGACCTGCATCTTAGGGTATCACACAGCCTCTTCCCAATTGCGAAGTTCTCCTAGGATGGCTCGTTAGGCATCATTTTTTATCTTTAAATGTGCTCCTCATCCTATTTTTGTTATTTCATCTCACAACCCCACCTGTCCGAGGTGTGAAACCTGGATTAGGATCTTATTCAATCACTAGGTCACAAACATCCCTTGAATCTATGTATATCTACTTCTCACACCACTATCATCACCTTCGTCATTCATCCCAGCTTATGTGACGGCCTCTAATCTAGCCATTTGCCATGTCTTCAATTTATTCTGAAATCCAAACCAGATGGATTAAATCATTGAACCCATTGCCCATAATTCTCAGGATAAAATTACTCTCATAGCATCATACCTGTCTGCCTTTCAAGCCTCATTCTCACTGTTCATGCTTGTTCTTACCCAAATTACATGCTTTTGCTCACCAAGCATTTACCTTGTCCATGAATTCCTATCTACCTGTGCTAAATGGATATTCATTTTTCAAATGGGTTGTTTAAATGTGCAATGGTTTAACTCGAGTGGGTGCAATTTCCAGAGTTTGAAAGAGATACACTTCTGTGCAACTCAGGTGCAAAGTGAGAGAACTGATAGCACAGTAACCTGTCCTATTATGGCGCCTTTATAGACTCTCAAAGCAGTTCCTCCTTTTGTCTTCCCTATGCCTTTCAGTTCCCTTTAAATTTCTATGGTAAGCCATTGTTTCCTCCACACTGACAATTAATACTTTCATTTTTAACTTACCTATTTCTCCCCCTTCCTTCCTTCTCATACTAAATTCTAAGCTCCATTTAAGACCATGCATCTCATTCATAGAAGTATCACATAGGCCTCATATATATAGGGCCCTCAAAATGAATGAATCAATTATAGAATGAGTGCTAGTGATAACTATCACATCGAATTCTATAGTTGTCAATCAAGAGCAATTTTAGTAAATGGCTCCCTATTTCTAGTTTGGTTCCAGTCCTTTGGATCACAAAATGGAGGTGGAATATACATGATTATATCATCCTTAAAGGACATAGCCTAGCTTGGGACACAGGCATGCCTATAGGTACATGAGCACCACAACACAGACAATTCACGCACAGTAGAAATAAGAGAAGGTAAACAATGTCATTCAAAGCAAAATGGTTTGGCTCCTCTGAGGTCAATGGGAAGACATTGTGAGTTCTACAAAAGATCACTTTGTGAATAACTATGTTTAAACATACACATATGCACACACATACGTACATCATATACATACATCTGGAAGTATTAGCCCTACACCCTAAACATTATTGTTAAAATGCAATTGAAAAACATGGAGAGTATATCAGGGGCTGCTAGTTCAGGGTGGAGGTGAAGGAAAGGAGGGTGGCCATAAGGGTGCAACAGGTGGGATTCTCCAGGTGACAGAACTGCTGAGTATGTTGTATCAGCGTTGATATCCTGGCTGTGTTGGTATACTATGGTTTTACAAGATATCATTAGGGAAAACTAGGAAAAGAGTACAGGAATCTATTATTTTTTAGAATTGCACAACTCTCAACATTATCTCAAAAAGGAAAATTCTAATTTAGAAATGAAGGTAATATTGTAACTAATTGAAGAAGACAGAAATTCATGAGTCAATAAAGTATAAATGAATGAATAAATTAATGGGAAAAGACAAAGTTTTTTTCACAAAATAAAGTGAACTATAATTTTTTTGAAGAGAAAAATTAGAAATTCATCATTTGGCATCCATTGGAATAATGAATATTTAATCCAAGGAATGTCAATAGATGCTGAGGCATTAAAATTCTATGAGGAACAAACTACTTACTATAAAATGCTTATTACAAAGGGGAAAAGATAAAAACTTGGAAGATACCAACTTAATCATGTCATCAATTTTAATACCACTAGTAATGGGAAAAGTTAGTATCATGTACTACTTGGTAGGGCAGTGAGAAGACTAGCACAATAGCACACTGGTCTTTGTCAGGAAGAAATACAGAGAAACCAAAACTGAGGGTTATTCTACAAAATGACTGTTCCGTGGTCTTTAAATGACAAGATCGTAAAAGGTCAACAATAGACTAAAGGACTTTTCAAGATTCACTAATTTGTGAAGAAGACTCAAGAGATAGATGACCTCCAACCTTGACAAGTCTCTTGACCAGTGACCCTGATAAAAAAACTTCAGTGGGGTCAAGTTAAAATGGTGGCATGTGTGTCAATGTTAATTTCTTGATTCTGATGGTTAATTTCCTGATGTATTGACTGAGGTTATGAAAAAGAATGTCGTTGGCTATAAGAATCATACATTATTAAACGATGAGAAGGCATTATTTGGTCATTTCCAAATGGTTTAGGAAAACTGTCTTGGACATTTAGCAAACCTTTTTGCAAATTCGAGTGTTTCAGAATAAAAATTACATTTAGCATAAAAAATGTAATTTATAATTTTCTCTGTAGTTCAGAGCTCAGAAGATCATGATGTGCCCAATTTTCCCTTATTCTTCTAATGCATAACAAGATCAAATGAGGACAACATGGTTGAAAATGAGATTCTCTAAATAAGGGGTTGGCAAACTTATTCTGTACAGAGTCAGAGTAAAGATTTTAGACTTTGAAAGACAATCTCTGTTGCACCTATTCAATTTTGTCATTGTAGTACAAAAGTAGCCATAAACAATACATAAGCTAATGAGTGTGGCTGTGTTCCAATGTAGCTTTATTTGTGGACTGCCATTTGAATTTCACGTAATTTTTATGTGCCACTAAATAATTTTTCTCCCTCAATCATCTAAAAATGTAAAAACCATCCTTAGCTCCTAGGTCCACAAAAGCAGATTTGGCCAATTGGTCTTAGTTTTCCAACCCCTACTCTAGATTTAAAATTGTCTTTACATGATGCCACCATTTAACAAATTAGTAAGCACTCTGTCAATATGAGTAGTCTAAGTTTAAAGAATTAGAATTTTGCATGTAGACTCTACAAGGTACAGGTGAATGTCACAGAATGAACAGAACTTGCTTTGGAAGACACATCAACTGTCTTCACTCTGAGTTATACACACATACCTATACTGGATGGTGCATAGGGTCAAGTCCATCCAAACACATAAATGCCAATCCTCTAAGGGGGTGGGATCAGGAAAAGCTCACTTGGTAGAAAAGAACAAGGTATTTGTTTCAATAGGTCTTGGCATAAAAAAAAAAAAAAAAAAAAAAAACTGTTTGCTCACCTTGGCATAATGAATTAACTGGACAAAGAAGTGTTTCTACCATTTTTATCTAGCCAGGTGTCAAACTCTAGGTTAGGGGAAGGGCTAGAAATAATCAGAGAAATTAAGAGTTTAATGGAATAAACAAAATATGAAGAGGAGAAACTAAGGCAATAGTTAAGTGGGAGAGGAAATGAAAAACCTCTAAGATTCACTAATTGTAGAAAATCAATTGAGATTTTCAGTCTATGGAATTATGGTTTCACTAATAAAAAACAAAAGGAGGGAGTAATGAGATGTGACTAATTTGTGAAGAAGAGTCTAAGACATTTGATTTCTAACCATCTTACATCCACCTAAATTTAAAGGTTCAGCATTTTCTTCTAAATAATCATGGAGACATTCATGAGACTAAACAGTTGATCTTTTTCTAACATCTTAAGCAATACATTGAATATATAATTGGCAGGTACCTATCACTTATATCTTGTTCACTCTATAAGCACAGACTATTGTGACTTTACAAATTACTACTGTGTTTTCATAGAGCTGTCAGAAATTTTTTATAAAATCAGTTTTCCCCAAAAACCCTCCACTCTTAATAGTTTTACCATTGGAGTATTGTCCTAAAATGCTGTCTCTCCTTTAGACACGCAAAATAAACAGCCTTATCCTGGACATTGGAAAGACTGATTACCAAGGTTGAAAAAAGCAGTTCTGTGCGGGAAAAGCAATTGCTGCCTTCACCTCAGTTCAGAGGCACTTTGACAGTGAAATAAAGTCCCACAGGGAAGGCACCATGCAACGGAAGCCGGAAAACTCTTGGATGAGAGAAATAGCACTGACCAGAAGCACACATTACCAAACACGGATTGAGAATGATTTATTAAGGTCCAATTAGTGTTTTTCATTTCCAATGGTCCATAACTTCTTCAGAATATATGCACATGAGAAGTCCAAGTTCATTTCCTTCACTTCCAATACAGAACACTCTGTATTTTCTATAAAGTATGTGCAAACACCATTCTGCTCTCTGGTTCCCGAGCTCTTTCACTGTGGACAATCTGTCCCTGCTCAGATGCTGACATGCATTGACTTCCTCCTTCCTAGGGAGTCAACCATTCTCTGTGTACCTTTCTCTTAGACGTACTCCTGACTTTCCTATACCTGCCTCACGACTCTCACTTTATAGGTCACTTATTATAACAAACTGGTGAAATTACTGGTTTATCTGGCCAATGCATTAAACCGGTCTCATTTAACATGGTGACAGTCTACTGGGGCAGTTCCTAGAAAATACACAGTATCCAGTCACAGATTGACATGCTCAACCCACTTGCTATAGAAGGGCACCAAGCTTTTTTAATAGGAAGATCCTTTATTCACTGGCACACTTGAGTTCTTTGCATTTTCTTCAATCCTACATTACAGCCGTGGCTACCAAGAACCATTTAATCTGTCCCTCAAATGAAATTTGGGATTGTGAAACAAATTAGGGTGTCCTCATTATTTGTGACAGTCGATTGTTTCTGCTCCATCCTGAGCACCCTCAACTAAAGTAACCACTTAATTTCCTCTGTAAAAAAAGTAATTTACCTGGCATTCCTCACAATTGCCAACCACGCAGTGCAAAAGCAGGAAATCCCTTTTTATAAAAGGTAAGAGCATAAAAAGACATTTCACATTTAAAAAAAAATCCTTCATGGGAATATGTCCTAAGTAAATATTCAATGATATGGACAAAGTTTTATGTACACAAAATTTTTGTAACATTATTTATAACAGTGAAAATGAGAAATAACCTAAGTAGTCCACAATATGAGAATGGTTAAATAAACTGAGTTGCATCCATTAAATGGAGTATTACATAGCCACTAAAATTATATTTTTGTAAAATTTCAATGCCATAGGAAAATGGGGCAATTCTGCAGTGGAAAGAAAAACTGGTTATAAAACTGGCTACAGTATGATCCCAATTATATAAAAAGGTATGTAATATATAGACAGGCATACACAGAGGAAAAAGCTGTTAATGGTAGTTATTTGTCATTTGTGATATCAGTATTCTTTCTGGCTTATACATGTCTGTCTTTTTCAAGTTTTCTACAATGACTACGTATTATTTTATAATACAGGAAAACACAGGCTATTAAAAAAAAAACTCCTCTGATGTACTGGTTATTCGAATGCACTTGGATATGATAAATATGTGGGGAAGTATTACTGTGCTTCATTTTCTATGCGTTTTTAGAGTATATTTTTGGTAATAAATTTCCTGTTTTACACTGTTACAACACTTTAATAAAAAGGTAATATTGTGATTAGAGCATGGTTTCATGACCTAAACAATACTTGTTTTAACATCTAGATTCTTCTATTTCCTAGAAGATTTACAATTAATACCCTTTTATCTTTTTAAGTAAGGCGTACTGCATACATACATTACATGCATGCTTTCTAAAACAATAATTCTAATTGATAGTTTTCCAATAAAAGGAAAAATGGAGTTACGGTAACTTAAAAACAGTCTATAGTTCTTTATCCATCACAAGCATGCTGATAGGTATAAACATGTTTATTAAATGAAATGTATCCTTTAAAAATAAAAAAGCCTGTATGTAAATGAAGTTGTGGATTCAATTAGTCAGAACTCATTCTGACTTGCACCAAACCACACAAAATCTTTTGAAGTCTAGTTAGTGTAGTCTAATGGACACTCAGAGTCTATTTGTGACTTCCATAGCAAGATCTCCACTTTCTACTTTCAAAAGGCATGGGAATCAGGATGAGGGTTGTCACATAAGCTAATTTTCAATATATATCAAGTCTTTGGGGGTCTAGGAACAAATACTGCCATTGGTTAGTGTTTAAGTACATGAGTTTATATTTCCTCTCTCTTTCAGATCCCACCTTGCCCTGGCATTTGGGAAGGGGGAGAACTATTCATTCATGTGTTAAGCAATGATGGCTGACTTCTCATTCATTCATGTGTTAAGGAATGATGGCTGACTTCTCATCTTAGTTTCCTTTCTAAACCACAGAGTGGTCATTGCTGTGAACTCCAGCCAAGATGGTGTGGTTGAGGGAGGAAGCTGAACGGTCTGAGCCTTCCGTGGGGCCACTGGTGTTTTCACTGCGCTGGCAACAGAGGATCTGTCTGAAGGTGGCACTCATCTCCTTGTCCCGGTAGGAGTAGATGATGGGGTTCATGGCAGAGTTGAATTCGGCAAGCAGAAGGAAAAATTTCTCATAGGCCAGAACATCACACTGTGGACAGCACACATCGAGAAGTAGTAAGACCAATCCAGGAGTCCAGCAGATGATAAAGGCACCTACATGGACAGGGATAGGTATCAGAAGGGTTTAAAAAAGAAGAAAAAATGCAATTATAAAACAAGCAACTATAATGGGAAGTGATTTCAGTTCAATACAAAAATACTGAGAGTTGAGGCCATCAGATTAACATCTGAAATGAAATATTCATTTTCTGAAATGAAATCAAAAAATTTTAACAATGAAATCATTTAACGTGATTTCATTAATTCAAGCCCTACATAAACTGAGTAGCTATGACACACAGATGATTAAAGTGAACAAAACAGAGTTCGCTAAATAATTAAGATGTGAAAAACCACATTCAAGGATATACTTCAACATTTTTAACAACATAGTTTTTAATGACATAAGAATATTTCCAGGCAAAAGATAAGCACTATGACAAATGTTTAGTTCAGGTACTTTATGAATTCAAGCTGACTGGCTCAAATCTTGGTTTGCCATCTAATAAACTGGGTCAACTTGGGCAAACTACTTTTCTTCTTCCTCTTTCTTTCTTTCTTTCTTTTTTTTTTTTACCACCCCAGTCAAGATACAGAACAGAAATGCCCTGGGCCATCTATTTTTGATGTATTTATAAATGGAATGTCTTCGTAAGTTCTCTTTCTGATAGTTTGGTGTTTGTGCACAGAAGGGCAACATTTTTTGTATTTTGATTTTGTGTTCTGCAACCTTACTGAGTTTACTAGTCATAAGAGCATTTTTTGGGTGGAGTCTTTAGGGTTTTCTATATGTAACATCATGTCATCTATAAACAAAGACAGTTTTTACTTCTTCCTTTCCAAGTTAGATGCCTCTTACTTCTTTTTTCTTGCCTACATTCTCTGGCTAGGACTTTCAATACTTTGTTGAATAAAAGTAATGAGAGTGGACATCTTGTATTGTTCCTGCTCTTAGAGAACAAGCTCTCAGTTTTTCATGATTGAATAGGATGTTAGCTGTGGATCGCCAAACATAGCCTTTATTATGCTCAATTGTGTTCCCTTTATTTTCACTTTGTTGATAGTTTTTATCACAAATAGATGTTGAATTTTATCAAATGCTTTTTCTGCATCTACTGGGGTGAACATGTGTTTTTTTATGCTTCATTTTGCAAATGTGCTAGATCACATTGTTTGATTTGCATATGTTGAGCCACACTTGTATCCCTGGAAAAATCTTACTTGATCATTGCACATGACCCTTTCAATGTATTGCTGAATTTTGTTTGCCAAGATTTTGTCAATGATTTTTGCATTGTGTTCATTGGGAATATCAATCTATAATTTTCTTTTCTTCTGATTTACTTGTCTAGTTTTGAAATCAAGGTGATGGTGGCCTCATAAAATGGTTTGGATATGATCCCTTTGCTTCTATATTTGGAAGAGTTTCAGAAGGGTTGGTACTAATTTTTGTTTAAATATTTGGTATCATTTACCAGTGAAGCCATCTGGTCCTGATCTTTTGTTTGTTGTAAGGTTTTTAATTACTGATTCAATCCCCTTATTGGTAGTTATTCCATTCAGATTTTTTATTTCTCATGATTAAGTCTTTGTAGGTTCTGTGTCTCTAAAAATTTATTCATTTCTTCTAGGTTTTCAAATCTGTTGCCATATAATTATTCATATTTCTCTTATGAACCTTTGTATTTCTCTGTTACCAGAGAATCATTCTGATTTTATGTATCTGAGTCCTCTTTTTTCTTGATAAGTCCAGCTAAAATGTTGTCAATTTTGTTTATCTTTTTAAAAAATCAGCTCTTTAGCTCATTGAAACAAATTACTTCTTACTGACTTTTCTCAACTGAAAAACATAAATTATATTTATTTAATTAGGAGATTGCTGTAAGGATTAAACAGTGTTAACAAAATAGTCACTCAGTATATCTTAGCAATAATTACAATACTATTGTCATTATCTAGTCAGAGGATGGACCTCTTGTAAACGACAATTTCTAATAAGACACATGTTTGCATTTATTGTTTTCAACAGTCCCATAGTGTTTTCTATCTCCTTTACAAATATTGACTCATTTAATCTTCACAAGAGTCACTGAGATAGAAACTATCATCCCCATTTTACAGATAAAGAAGCCAAGACTGAAATAACTTGCTCAAGGTTGTAAGTATAAAGTGTCAGACAGGAGACAAATTCCAAAGTTTCTGCTCTTAGAGACTGGCTCCAGAGTCCACATCAGATAATACACTATACTCCTGTTCCATGAATTAATACATTTAAATATGTTAAACCAAGTTTTATGTTGTACTTGTTTAATTTAGATCAGCTTTGTTTTTTTCTCAACTATTCTGAATTATTAAGAATTTATTATAAATTTAAAAGGAATATAATCTTAATTCCCATGTATTTAATTCTTGAAATCATTCATTTGGCTCCCAAAGAAAATGAAGGTTGTGAAATAACATGGTCATCTACGACCACATCACACCAGGATCTGTTGGGGATTCTTAACTAAAAGAACATGAGCCAAGAGAACTTGTGGCCACAGTCATGTCCCATTTCATCTCACCTAATGGGTCCCACATGCATAATCAGGCAATACAATGAACAGGGAGAGGATAGGAATGTTCCCAGAAGTGCATTTGAATCTTTCCACCTAAATGGCACTGGCCTAGGTGGTGCAAGGCTTGGGGCTGGGGTTACGATTTGGACTAACCTCAAGGAATGAATTTCAAAAAATGTAAATAAACAAGATTTAGTCTCCAAACAACCTCATTTTGAATGTGAGCTTTCTTTTTTTGTGAATCTTTTCAGCAGGGAAATCAAAATAAAGGAGAAGAGTACCCCTTTAAAGCTCTTTGTTCTAAAACAAAAATGTGTATTGGTTTTAAACTGCTGTTCACTTTGAAGAGTGTCCAAGGTGCTTCATTTTCTAGTAAGTACCTTAGACTTACTTAGAGAGAAAAAAAATATTTCAAATATCAGGAGATAATAAGTAGGAAGCTATTTGAATTTCAAGTAAAAATGTTAATAAGGCATTTATTCCAAGCCCTTGAATTTCCTTGCTTGAAAATCACTCAGAAAGTTAAACATAAAGGAAAATCAAAGGAATGCCTCTTGGGTTTCAGAAATAATGCATTATTCATTGAGAAGCCAGGAAGGGAATTATTCTCAGGGTGGAAAATGCTTGGATGGAAAAATGCATGGTCCCATTATTCCATTTACTTGGAAACTAAAAACATACAAACCCTTCATGAATGGGAGCACATTCTTTCAAGTTTCCTTTCCCCTTTCTTTTATCAAAGCTCTAATTGAACTCAAATCCAGAGCTTGATTAGATACCAGTAACATGCATGTCAACAGGCTTATTTTAAATAAAATTATCTTTTCCTCTTCCAGACACTAGAATGGAACATCCTGATTCTTACAGACCTGCTCAAGTTGTGTAACTGTTCAAAAGTGACAATTCAAACCCAGTCATTTGTTGTTTATAAAAATTTAATAATTTTAAGCTGAAAAAGAGCAGGATCTTTTCCCAAGAAGCCATGGTTTCAGGAACTTGCCCAATGGGTCTTACTTTTAGACCAAAAAAAACAAAACAAAACAAAACAAAACAAAAAAACCCAGCAAGGAGATGACTAGGTCAGAGACACCACAGCCTGACACCAGAGCTAATGTGTACAGACACCTCACTGAGAAACTCTGGGTCTTCCCCCTTCTTCTTCAGTGAAAGGAACTGCTTTTAGTATTAGGATTAGACCCATCACTATTCCAACAATGCATTTAGATCTTCAGGACTCAATGAGCAACTTAAGGAATTCACAGTAAATGTCTCGACAACCAACATCTAAAACCAATCACAAGAATATCCCCTTTTCCCCCTTTCCTTCTCTTTCATAGAGGTGCCAAAGATCAAACTGACCAAAAAATACATATGAAAAAATACCATGGATTTTATGATTTACAGAAATGGAAAATGAAGCCTGGAAAAATTCCGAGGTGATTAGACTTCTAAAGCATAGTAAGTATTATGAAATCAAGTTTGCTCAAATTCTGAATTTCCTTTCAAGCTTCTAAAAATAAAAACTATACCCGAATTCCTTTAGTAAGAAGTAGCCAACCATAATAGGACTTGAGATAAAAGCATCACATATGGATCCTTATAAACACCTATCCTTTCAAGACTAAAGTACACACCTACAAGGCAGGTTGATAAGAGTGAAAAGAATCTCCACTCCACATCTATAAACTGGAGAAGTAATAGCTGGTGTGATGAGAATCAAATTGCGATATTAAACTGAGTTTAAGTAAGTGGTAGGTGGGTGGCATAATGTGTGATGAGTGTTGTGGGCAGATTTCCTGCAGGACATGGAAATGCATTTTAGATCATGAAGACCTGACATTTCAAAATGCTCTGAGATAATACCGTTCTGATTAGAAGAGATTTCTAGAACTTGCAGTTGGATAGGGCAAAAATAACAAGAAGGCAAGGAGCCTTTTGAGAATACCACAAAAGACGCACGTAAGACCTCAATTATTCTGGAGGTTCTCAGGAGTCAACTCAGTATCTCCCACAATGGAAAATAACATGGTACACAGTATGGAGAGTGGTTTAGGCAGTCAGCATATTTCCAGAGTATTTGTGACAGATGAATTCCTACACACCGAGAAATAAACCAAGGGTTAGTATGGAACACATGTAGTAAGAGAAACCACAAATAGTTTATGGCTACTTACTATAAAGTCAGGAGCAGGGTGGCAGAAGATAACATCTTCAAGGTCACAAAGACTGTATATCTATCTGGTTTGAAAGTTCTCCTGTCCAGTCTTGGTTTTCAACCCAAACTAAATATTGTAACAACCTGCAGAACTTATAAGAAATCACTTGTCTTCACCTACACTTTTCCCAGTGAGATTTTTTTTTTTTTTAATTTTTATTTATTTATTTATTTATACAAGCACTGGGTACAGTCAGAAGCGCGGGAGGGTGAGAGAATTCACCAGAGCCAGAGCGGGGAGCAGAGCAGGCAGAAGGACCAAAGTACACTGCTGAGGGGAG